TGAATACAATGATCATAATGTAATTTTCATATTATAAGGCATTTCATTAGTTTGTGTTTCAATTCACTTGACATGAATTCTCAGTGAATTATAATTGCATTGCATTTTCACACCATTTCCTTATATAGCGATTCAGTAGTATTTCCAGTGAATTAAATACTAGTTTTGTTACTATTATAAAGTGTTATTGTAATTAAATGCTTGATTAGTTTATTAATTAAATGAGCACGTGCGATTAATCAAACAGCGGGCTAAGTGTATATAACCCTATAACTAAATATAATTTATATTTGCATAGCAAATTATTAAATTAATTATTAAAATAAGTTTTATGCTTTTCAAACGAAGTTTAAGTATTTAGAATATTTAATTATATTTAATTTAAGCTACATTATTTAATAATTTAAATGTTTATTTAATTAAGTTTTTAGTTCTAATATAAGTGATATAAATTATGAATTTGGAAAAATTTATCTATTTATAAAAAAATAATTGAAATACTGATAAAATATAAACTGTAATTTATTTATAAATATATCTTTAACTAATTATTCTAATTATTGTATATTGATCATTTGGATGTAAGAATAGACTCATAATTATCTCAATTTTTAATTTAAATAATATAATATAAAATATAAATAATTATAAATAAATATGTAAACAACATAATATTAATATCAATATATTTTATATAACACTGTACATGATGAAATTAGTTATCTGTAAACAATCATGGCATAGGTCTGATCATCCTTACTATGAATTATGTTGGGGGCAAGCATACAGAATTTTAGTCCCTGTGCGTTTTACATGTTTTTTGCATAGATTTCATTGAAAACGGTAAATAACAGTGAAATCTACGTAAAAACATATAAAACGCACAGGGACTAAAAGTCTGTATGCGTGCCCCCAACATAATTCATAGTAAGGATGATCAGACCTATGCCATGATTGTCTGTAAAGATAGCAAATAAAAAAGATAAAAACATTTTAAATGTTGTAATTATTAAATTTTACAAAAATAGTGTTTACAATTTATCAACAGAATCAACAATTTAGTTTTAACAAGTTTAATTATAATTAATTAATGCTTTTATAATGAAATTTAGTTTAAAATATGGTTAAATTTTATTTTAATAAATATTGAATTGATAATTTATATTTTTACATATTATTATTTAATTAGTTAATTAGAAAAATAAATTGTATTATAATTTAATAATTTTATTATCTAGATATTAAAATTTTTTAAATTTAGATAACAGGAGTGTAATTCTCATTACTACAATTTTAACTAATTTTTAAAAATATAAATTAAAAACTTGGTAAATAATAGCCAAATTATTTAAACAAAGTTTGAAAAGTGGCCTTGTATAAAGTTGTATAAATTGCTACAGTAATTCATTAAAAGTGTACAAATTACAAAAATATTTTAAGACTGAATTAACATTAAATTCTAACCATTAGTATACGCAAAATGAATTCAACTCGGACGATTTTAGCCCCGCGGTTACAGCCCGTTGCGAACGGGGGGTTATGTACATTAATGTGGTGACTCTACAGCCATTTTACGGTGTGGTACACACACATGGCTATCGTAAAGGCCCGTGTCTTATAGACGGTAACGGAGGGTTTAATACCACGTTGAAAGTCAGTCTATTGGCCGATGAGAATGACGAGATTTACTGCGGAATCAATAAGGGTGTTAAGGTATGTGATCATGGTAATAAATTTTATGTGTTCAGTATGAGTTACCAGTGTATTTTGTTAATGTATCAGGGTGAACGCTCGGTTTCGTTGGCAATAAGGCCTCATAAAAATCTGGAATTGACTGATGATAAAAATTATTACCTAACGTGTGAACAATCCGGGTATAAAAATGTGCGGTTAGTAAATGATTAATTAAATTATAATGATATTTTTTTGTTTTTGTTTTATCAATATGTATTATTTGAATATTAACTTTATTGTGTTTAGTGGCGGCACATATAAAGTGACGTTAAAACTGCTTGATATGAGTGGTCAGAGAGCGGGCCGTATATTACACGGCAATACGTATATATTGCGGGCACAACTCACACCATATGATAGTAAGCATCATGCACAATTTTAATTTATATCAGCATGTAATTTAGTTTATTAACATATTAATTTATTTGTGGGTCGTAGTAATAATATAATGGAATATTTGAATTTATGTTATAAATTCCACATACTGTAATTATATTTAAACATGTAGAATAATAGAAAACATTTATCATTTACATAAATTTATGGTAATCAATGCGATTGGAAAAATAGCTTGAATAGATATTGCAATTTAGTCTATTTTTATCTTTTTTAAAAATGTAATTTGTTAATTCCGTACTATGTAAAATATACATATAAAGTTTATAACTGTTATTTAATTCGATATTTATTAAATAATATAACACACATTTACAAACATTATTTAATTGAATATAAAATTAAACACCCTGATTATGATGATTAATCATTACGTGATTAACCATTCTACATCTCACACATCTATTCCTTATCTATACAGGCATAACATCGTTACGTATAAAAAACTGTTTTGCGTTCACTGACGACACGGACGCCGGAGATCAGGTCCAACTGATCGACGCGTACGGGTGTCCGGCGCCGGCGGCCGACGCTCTGATCTCTCCCTTCAACTACAACACCACACATACAGCCGAAGCCGTATTGTATGAGATGTTCAAATACCCGGACACTAATAAACTGAACATACAGTGCGACGCTATACTGTGTCGGGGCGGCTGTCAGGAGCCGGTGTGCGACTCACCCGGTTATAAGGGTAGGGATTTGGCCCTCGATGGCTATTCACAACTTTCTGCCTCTACCTCCATGTTTGTTTTCGAGCCCACAGATGATTCACGTCAGTAAAATTTAATTTATAACATAGAATTTATTCAACCAGGGTCAAATTTTTAATGTAAATTTATTGACAAACTTCTTTATTTAGTTACCCACGAAAATCTATCCGAGTGTACTGAATGGAGATTCCCATGGTTGATTACCCTGTGCATAGTGTTGGCCGTGTTATTACTATTAATGTTACTGTTGAATATGTTCATGTGCTCATCGCTCAGTTGTCGCTGTATTAAAACTGAGGTAAGTTTTAATTAAATTAAATTTAACAGTTAATCACATGATGTTTTTTATTGATAATAATGTATATCATTTTCTTGTAAAATAATTTTTCCTAATCCATTACTGCCAATATCACTAAAAATAACCTAATGAACATATTTTTGTAGAAGTTTACAATAACGTTACAGTTATTACACATGCGTTTGATTACATTGTTTTAAATATGATTGATTTCAAATGCAATTATTTTATATCACCTAGATCGTGGAACAGGAACCGGACGAGACAGTCGACGATTACGACCCATACCGGGCCGACTGGACGGCCCCGAACTCACGGTACGGGTCCCGCAATTCACTGAACAAAGGCTATCCCGAGGGGACACTCAAGTCAAACAAATCACAGCCAAAGTCCTATCACTTGGGCTACGATAACGATGACTACGTTCCCGACCAACACAACCGGTCCTACTCTACACTACAGACCCGATCGCCCCGACCTCGATCGCCGGGTCCGCCCCTCTCAACCTATTCGACCCACTCTTTAAAGTCAAACAAAAAATTAAAGCCAATCAAAACGATCGAGATCGATTACTCTATTGACAACAATAATAAAAATCCATATAATTTGGCCCGTCGTTAGGCCCCTAACACTGTATGAGATAATGTAATTTGCAGTTTAAGATGTAATTTTTTGTTTGTATTTTGTTTTTTATTTGTAAAATAAGATGTAATTTTTAATTTTATTGATTGATAAATAAAAGTGATTAATTTTGCCATAATTTACACAAAATTCTAATTAATCCAAAATATCCAATGTATATACGTATTTATTTTATAATACAGTATATTCACACACTCACATATTGGTATAATGCTGTTTATAACCATAATAGCCATACATAACTCGTATACTTTATAAAGCACATACTTATAATTTTAAAATTACAGATTTAATATAAACTATTTTGTAATTTAATTATAATTATTAGTAATAACCGTTAATGTATTAATTAAATGCAAACCTTGTGTAAATTTAGTGCAAAATAATAATTTTTAAATAGATTAGTTTTGCATCTATGCTTCCATAAACAATACAATATAATTTTAGCATCATTTACTAATTCACACACTCATTTGAAAGTTATAGCATTAATTATATCAACATTATTTTAATAGTAACTTAATATTACTAAAATATGGTTTATAATCACCTACAACAAATATAACCTCAATGTTTACGATTTATTACAATATTCAAAACGCCATACACTAATCTGACACGTGCCCGGCTTGTCCGGGCAAACGTTGACGTCTGCCCGGCTTGCCCGGGCAGACGTTTAACGTGCCCACCATGCCCGGGCATACTTTTTAAATGTGCCCGCCTTGCTCGGGCATACTATTGACATGTGCCCGGCATATTCAGACAAAAGAAATTAACCAAATATAATAGACCTGGTATATCCGGGACAACTGTATTAACCAAATATAATATGTTTAGAATATCCGGGACAACTGTATTAACCAAATATAATTGGCAAGGCATATCCGGGGAAACTGTATTAACTACACATAATGAGTCCGGTATATCCGGCCAACGGTATTAAACAAATATAATTGGCACTGTTTATCCAGAAAAACTGTATTAATTACATATAATGAGTCTGGTATATCCGGGCCAACTGTATTGAGCAATTATTATAATTTTTATAACATTTTATAACTAATTTGTATTATTTCATTAATAATTATAATAAAGTATATTTGACTATTTAATTATTTACATATTAATAATGGTGTAAGTTTTATCATGATGGAGTATAATATGTGCAAGAATATTCTGGGCACATTATATTTAGTTAATACAGTTGGCCCGGATATACCGGACTCATTATGTGTAGTTAATCAGTTTTCCCGGATATGCCTTGCCAATTATATTTGGTTAATACAGTTGTCCCGGATATACCAAGTCCATTATATTTGGTTAATATCGTTTGTCTGAATATGCCGGGCACATGTCAATAGTATGCCCGGGCAAGGCGGGCACATTTAAAAAGTATGCCCGGGCAAGGCGGGCACATTTATAAAGTATGCCCGGGCAAGGCGGGCACAAATAAATAGTATGCCCGAGCATGGCGGGCACGTTAAACGTCTGCCCGGGCAAGCCGGGCACACGTCGACGTCTGCCCGGGCAAGCCGGGCACACGTCGACGTCTGCCCGGGCACGTCGAACGTTTGCCCGGGCAAGCCGGGCACATGTCAGATTAGTGTGTGCCACATAATAGTAATTAATAATTTGGCCCCCAAGAGCGTTAGGGTATATTATTTTGCACCCTTAAAAGTTTACATTGTATTTATTAAACCAATGTCAATGTATGTCAATCCAAATGCACACAACATCATAGTTAGTGCTAATTAATGCAACTTTAATTTTAATTGACCAAACCTTATGTAAATTACATCTGGAAATTACAATGTCGAATGTTTTGCAAGATAAATAACATGGTAACAAATTAATACTCAATAGATAAAATTAATAATAACTCATATATCGTTTGAATTAATTATTTGTTTTAATTTAATTAACTCTGTAATAATTATTTTGCAATTATTTAATATTAACTGTAACTTTAATGTCAAATTATACAAGTATTAGGATAAAATTTTGTTAAGTTTTAACATTGGTGGTTTAGAGTTCTGCACATATTTTAAGTTTTAAACATTAATTAACAAATAATAAATATTTGGGAACCGATGGTTGATTGTGTGTATAGTGTATTTGACCCTAATTATAGTTACTTGTGTCTCGATATGGGCCACTCTCAGTTAGGGTGACCACCAAAAATCCTCTTAAAAAGGACGACTGGTATAAAATAGTCATTAAAAAAGGACAAAAAAGGACGCAAACTTTTTTAACCCTATGAATTTTCCTTTGTTTTGTCACACATTTTAAATGAATATTTAAATGAAAACACTTTTAATAAACAAAATTATCTGATTTTTATAATAGTTTTCTGTTAACAATTACCACATTTTAAAATATATTTATACTCTATTATTATTATTTACTGTTTGTGTGCTGTAATGTCTAAACTTTACAGCTTTACAGATCTACAGTGCATAGCAATCAATGATATTTCTCATATTTTAAAACATATTAACCTTTTATATTGAAATTACTAAAATTCAAAAAAAGGACGCGTCCTTCTTTACTCTGTTTTCAGAGGTCGAAAAAAGGACAAAACCCATAAAAAAGGACGTTCTGGTCACCCTAATTTTCACTGAATATTCTGTTAAACAATGAATGATTTGAATGGTTATTATAAAAACTACACGACATTACACTAAAATTTTTATTTTTATTATCTAATGATTATTACTGCAGTAAAATGTATTAAAAGTTTTATTCATATAAAAAAGTTTTAATAAAAACTAATAATAAAATCAAATCATTTGTTTTAAAATTTCGTGACACATCTCTATCTAATACTTTTGGATTTCTATTAAAATTAAAAAAAAATATATACAAAAAACTTTACAAAATTGAAATATAAAACAAATAAAACAAAGAAATATTCATTGAATTATAAGCGTATAGTTTTTGTGACACAAAATGAATTGATGTCTACTTTTTTAGGGTATCTCTCAAAAGAGACGACAAAATAAAATAAAGTAAAAAAGCGTTTTTTGGTTATAAATACTATTCGGCGAAAGGATTTGCTGAGAGAGAGAGAGAGAGAGAGAGAG